TTGTCTCCTGCTGGACTGACTGCACAGCAATGTGGATTCCCTCAAAAGAAGGATGTGAGGAGCTTCCCCATCTGCCTGCCTGCGACACGACTCAGCTGTCCCACCCACGCCTCTCAGTGGGATGCACACAAACCCCCACAAGGCCTGGGCTGAGTTTTCTTTTCACAATCTCATTTGTCTGGTCTGCTCTTTGAGAACAGGACCACATTTAAAAATTCGAGTATGTCCCATGGTGCCTTGTATGACAGAGCTATCAGTGAATGGCTTTTCATTATGCCTTGCATTTTTTTTTCTGCTCTTTTTTCTTTTTTTGTGTGTGTATTTAGTACAAGGTCTGCAGGGTCTCACTACATAGACTGGACTCATAGTGATCCTCCTGTTTTCACCCTCCCAAGTGCTGGGATAATAGGCGTGTGCCACCACACCCAGTCTTAGTGTCTCAGCGTGCCCCAGGAGTGGGGCTGGCACAGCACGCTGGGGATCAAACCCCAGCCCCTGCATCTGCCTAAGCAGGCACTTTAATCAGCTAAGCTATCTGGCCGGCCCCACCTTGCATGTTTTCGTATTTATGTATTCCTTGATTCACCTAAGGTCAGACTGATACCTCAGGTTGATTAGTTATCAATACTGATAATGAATATAATGCTACGATCTTTCCAAGCATATTTGCCATCTGTTTTCCATTTTATTCCTACATCCCTCCAAGGTTGGCAGGGCAGACGGCACCATGGGGATGGTACCTAAATGAATCACGTGGGGTCCAGACAGCGGAGTGCATGCTCAAAGATTCCAGGGAGTTAGCAGAGACTGGACAAAACCCTGGGTGGGTGCTTGCCTTGTCGCTGCCTACTGGCACCCATCTCTCTGCAGTGCCCAGCAGCAAGCAGTCCTGGCTCTGAGCACATCCCTGCCAGCACTTGACAGTATCAGGAACTGTGCTGAGACATTACCTCATGGTTAGCAAACCGGATGTCCCGAGAGAATATGGTGGCCACCCAGTCGCACCCCAGTTTGACATCAATGTTCTGGGCTAGTTTCTCCAGGGTGGGTAGGTGGCTGGCTTGGAAGTGGTAAGCCAGGGTGACGTGCAGCTGCTTCTTATGAGGCTCCACATGTACTTCTGGAAAAAGGGAGAAAAAAGTCCGCCGTTAGGATGTGGTGGTCATGTAATGGTGGAGACTTAAAAACCAACACAGAAAAGAACCCTGGTAATTTCTGCTTCCTAAATAACAAAGGAGGGAGATCCTTGGTTAGACAAAAGCTATTTCTCTTCTTCTTCTTCTTCTTCTTCTTCTTCTTCTTCTTCTTCTTCTTCTTCTTCTTCTTCTTCTTCTTCTTCTTCTTCTTCTTCTTCTTCTTCTTTTCTTCTTCTTTCTTCTTCTTCTCCTTCCTTCTCCTTCTCCTCCTCCTTCCTTCTTCTCCTCCTCCTCCTTCCTTCTCCTCCCTCCTTCTCCTCCCTCCTTCTCCTCCTTCTCTTTCTCTTTCTCCTTCTTTTCTGCAGTACCAAGGATTGAACTCAGGACCTTGCACTTGCCAGGCAAGTGCTATTTCTTTCATAGCAACATAAAAAAGGGAAGTGGGTCACAGAGCCTGAGACAACCCACTGTCCAGGAGGTAAAGGGCCACAGAGCTGGATTTTGGGTAAGCACCATGGATTGGCACAGGGATAATCCTTGTTAGATGGCTCCTCCTTGCGGCACTCCAGTTGATTGTCACCAGCCCCACTATTCATAGGAGGAAACCAAGACTTGAAACCACAACCATAATTCCTATAGAAATAGAGTGTGTACTTTGTGTGATTTCCACAGCTGTGTTGCCTTCCTTCTGGGCCAGTCTGATGGAGAAACACAGAAGATAGAGTATCTGTAAATGATAGTGAGGTCCTCAACCTGCATTTTGAGTGGAGCAGCTGTTTGTTGGGAGGGGCTCTGTGCGCAGTACCTGCAGGAGCCTTCGCAGCATCCCTGGCCCTCGGCGCCAGATGCCATTGACGATATGGGGAAAAGGTGTGGCCAGGCTGACCAGGGAAATGAGAGGGGCCTGTCAATTACAGGATTCCAGGGCAACGTGACGACCTGTGTGTAGGACTCCTCGGGAGCTCCCAGGAGATGTGGATGGGGTAAACAAAGAGCGGCCAGCACGGAAGGTCTGTATCAGGCGTGAGTTTGCACTGTAGCCTGCACTGCGCTTCTTTGATGTGGTGTGCTCGTTTACCTTTGCTTTTGTCTTCTCTTTCTCTTTATTCCACTCAAGCTTGCTCTGTAGAGCTGGATTCTTCCATAGCCATTTACCTTGCACTTTTCAAATAAATGTCTGAGAGCCAAGGATGTAGCTCAGAGGCCCAAGCACCTGCCTGGCAAAGGCAAGGTCCTGAGTTTGATTACCATTACCAAAACCAAACAAACAAATGAACAAACAAAAACCCCCAACAATCTCACTCCCATAGATAAATGCCTGGCACCATATTTTTCTCATCTCATCCAATTCTTTGAAGCAAGAAGAACCTGGAACACTTTGGGTTGGAAAGCCACTGCTAAAGAAATGACCCTCTAACACTAGCGTCACCTCGGCTGTAAGAACCCAAAATGACTTCAAGCACTGCTAAATGTTTGGGAGCAGGGTTACTATCATCCCTGATGATGAAGTACGCAGACTGTGAGCTGAGGGAGCAGCTCACAGGAACAGCACTTGCCTAGCATGCATGAGGTCCTGAGTTCTATCCTGAGTGCATATATAATGTAGGTACATTGCTGAATGAATAAAACAAAATATGCAGATTATAAGACACCCAAGCATTCACACTGGACACCTCAAGAACTTTGCCCACTGAGCCATGAGGCATGCAGAGGACTCTGGCCACTGATGTTTACTAAGATCTTCCCGCCTAATGTCCCTTGCCTTCCTTTAAGCCCTAGAGAAAAGCGCGCTTCTCTTTGCTCCCTGCAGATGGCCTTTTTGCCCTCCAGCTGCCCGCACCCAGGCACAATAAATTCCATGCCATGTTGCCTTTACGCAAGCCTGGTGGTCTTGGTTGGTCTCTGTCTCGTGCCACTCCTACAACTACACGCAATTGAGGAATTCAAGAAATTAAGGCCCTCGGTGCTGTCACGTTGAGCATTAGTGGCCACGCCAGGACTAGAAGCTGGCTTCTCGGGTTTTGGGTACTTGTCCTGTTATCCCACAGATGATCTCTGTGGAGGAAGCCACATGAGACAAGGCACTTTCTCCTTCTTCATACTATATCCCCACTCAGGTGCCACATAGGATTTCAGTAGTTGATGAATGACTGGACATGAGTGAGTCTCCCCAAACTACCTGGAATAGATACACTCAATCTACTGGCAGGAGCCACAGTTTGTCAATAACCAGGATACCAAAGCATAACTCTAGGGCAAGATGCCATCTGCTCTGCACCTTAGGATTTATACTAAACCAGCCACTAGCCTGGCTGTGCAGTTCCCCAAATCACCAGCAGGGGGCGGCACTCAGACGTCGATCCCAAGTCCCAGGCTGTCTTCGAGAGGTGGGGGCTGGCCCACATTTCCACATAGAAATCTGGGGGCCTGACTGTCTCTCATTCCATATACGCTCTAAGAATCTGCCACAGTCCTCTCTGAGACCTGCTTTTCTGATTTGTGAAGGAGTTGGGTTTTGAGGTTGCAACATTAGTTTTGGTTCTTGTGGGGACTTAGTGGTTCTGACCATAGTTACTGTGGAAGTGCGGAGGGTGGGGAGCCACTTCCTTGGGGTGTAAGGACAGGAAATAATTTGGCTCTTTATTATGCTGTTTCTCTGAAACATTCAGCTTGTGTGGAATACCAGGCTGCACTGAAGCCAGAATCTCAAGGTTGGTCCTTGGAGAGAGGGACGCCTAAGGAAGGGTGGGACTCAGGGGGCTCCGGTCCGAAGGAGGAGGAAGTGAGCTGAACGCTTTATCGCGGAGCTCGCACGGCGTGCTGTAGGTGCTCAGAGCTCCTTCTGAGAGAGCAGGAATGCATCAGGACCCTGTGGCCATCTCGATCTCTCTCTTCCTGGCTCCTGAGGTCGGTTTGAGGTTTCTGTGGTAAAGGAACATAGCGCAAGAAGGGCCTGCATTGCTACTGAAAGGGCAGTGACAGCAACGGCAGCTGAGATTCAGCTGAAAGTCAGCAGATTCCAGCGTGGAACACAAGGCTTTGCTCAGCTTTCTCTGTCCGTGAACCCCACACAACGTGGGCTGGCAAGCTCAGAGTCTCCTCCAGTTTTGCATCCCACACCTGGCCAGACTGTGCGGCTCAGACCCTCCCCACCTCCCTGTCCCACCCGGTGCTCCTGTCACCTGCTCCCCTGATGGGGCGCTTCCTCCATCAACCTGATATCTCCTCCCGAGCCTCCTGTCTTCCCTGAAGATGTCTGCACCACCTCACTCTTCTTACCACAGTGTCCGAGTCTGGCTTCCAAACTACGCCTCTGGCCAGGAGAAACCAGTGCTTTCTTCTTTTCTTTCTTTCCTCTAGTACTGGGGACTGAACCCTAGACCCCTTTACTGAGCTACGTCCCCAGCCCTGTTTTAGGTTTTGATTGGAGACAGTCTCCCAAAGTCATTAAGCTGTCCGAGTTGGGCCTGAACATGTGTTATAGTTTGAATCAAGTTGTCCCCCCAAAGCCTCATGCAATCACTGGGGCAGCTTCTAGAGTTGTGATTGATTCTTCATCCAATGCTGGGATTATGGGTGTCAGGGCTATACCCGTCCTGGGGCAGATAATCTGCATACAAATGTAAGGAGGGGAGGAAGGCTTGCCAGCTGTCGCAGCTACTCCTCCCTTTGCTCTTTGCTGTCTTCTGCCACCATGAACTGCTGTCCTCTTCCATGTGCCGCTCTGCCTTGGAGCCAGCTGAGTACGAATTGAAACCTCCACTAACTGTGAGCTAAATAAACCTTTCCTTCCTTAATTCTGTGCATCAGGTATTTTGTCCCAGCAACGAGAGAAGAGTAACTGAGACCACATGCCTCTTCCTCCTAGAGTGCTGGGGTTGCAGGTTGTACCCCCCAGTTCTTATTGTCTTCTTCTTAGCATCCTTTTTGATAAACACACACTTGGCATTCCACAACTACCAGCTGAGTGTGACTTCATTTGGGGGGAGATCAGAGGGCCCCTCCTTCTGTACTGTCTGGCCTGCGCTGCCCAGTGAGGCCCTCTCACCCAGCCCAACGACCCCATCTACCCCTGCGGCCACACATGGAGCACTGCAAATGTCTCCCTTCTGTCCATTCACATCCCGAGCGTCCATCTGAGCTGACTGGCTTGCATTAAGAGTTGTCATGGACAGAACTAAAGACGTCTCAGCGAGAGTGCATTTTTTGGACAGACCTTTGAGGATTAGGGCTGTTCTAATGGGTGCCAGCAAGTCGCAGGGTGCTGGCTCAATGGGTTTTCCCATGATTTACTATGAATCAGAACAGAGTAAACATCAAGACTCAGGTAAACACCACTGTGGGTGGGCCGGGGGCTAAGGAGGAAGCAAGGTGGGCTCTGAATTCTGAAGCAGAGGAGAGACTGTGTGGTCCAGGGGGTCGGTTAACCTACAGTGCCATGCTGGCAGTCACCAGGCATCTCAGCCCGGTCTGAGGGGGTGAGCGGGGCGTTCTCTTCAGGAAGTCGGCTAAGAGACGGGATTCCCGCCCTGTGTGCCCACTGCTGCCCCGCTCTCTCCCTGCCGCTTCCTGCTGTTCCACTACAGCCATCCCGGCTGGGGAGTGAGCGGCTCCCACAGAGGTTGTGTGTTGCGTGCAGGCCTCGTGCTCACCCTGGTGGAACTAGAAGGTGGCAGAGCCCGGTGGAGGCAGAAGGGCCCCACGTGGACCCCGGAAGGGAGAGTCGGCCTCTGGCGTTCTCTCTGTTCCCAGGTACCACCTATGTTTTCTTACCCCATCTTTCCCCACTTGGGTTCTCAGGGCGAGGCTGGGCCCTGTGTGCTCACCGGCCTTGGATGCGGCCTCAGCGGCGAAGTCTGCAGCGAACTTCTTGAGGACCTCTGCACTGTCCTCCTTCACAAAGAGGCCGATGAAGTTGGAGGAGGTGTACAGCTCCAGGGGCAGGGGTGCCGAGAATTTGCACTTCCAGCGGCTGACTGTGGTCTGCAGGGCCTCCCCCAGGGCGTCCACCTTGCTGTCCTCACACTAGCAGGATGCAGGAGGGGGGGAGTAGATGTCACTTGGAGGCCTGGGCACGGGGTCTGTGGCCCCTTTCACCACACACCCCTTCCCTGGGGCCTGGGACCTAGTAACCCCCACTCCTGCCTGGGGCGAGAGAAGAACAGTAGGGTCTAGCTACTCAGACACATCCTCCATGTGGCAAATGGAGCAGGGAAAGCACAGCTTCTCCCCTTCTTGGCTGACTTGAGCCCCACCGCAAGGCAGGACTGGTTTAGTAGGAAGCAAGAATGAGGGTTGGGGTTGGATCCAAAATTTCAGTTAGGAAGAAGAGTTAAATTCAAGAGAGCTATTACACAGCATGATGAATACAGCTAATAACAGCATAACAGATACTTGAACATTGCTAGAGAGTAGATTTTAGGGCTCAGGATGTAGCGCAGTGGAGCAGCGCTTGCCTAACACGCATGAACCCAAACCCTAGGGTTTGATTTCCAGCACTGAAAGATTAAAAGAATAGATTTTAAATGTTCTCATCACAAATAAAAAATATACAGGGTGAGACACGTATTAATTAGCTTGATCTAGCATTCCCCCACGTACACATCTATCAGGGCTTCATTAATTCATGTAAGATTTTAAAAATAAAGAAATTTTCTTTGCACCAAAACAAAAATACAAAACCAAAGCAAAGCACAGAAGAACGTGATGAGAGAGTACAGGATAAACTGTTGTGTTTTTTACTGGTGAGCATACTATGTACCTTTTCAGTTCCTCTTAGACAATCAGAGTCTGTACCTCCACCCCCGAGAGCTGGGAGGAAGACGCCTCACGGCCCTGACATCATCCTCCTACCCTCTGCAGTGCAATGAGGAAAAATGCGTGTCTCTAAGTGCTCCGTGCTTTTGAGAAAGAGCCTGTATGACTAAGAGGAAGTGATAATCGCTTTAATTTTCAAAGTGAATGGCAAAAGAGAGGGTGTTAGGAACACGGTTTTTTATGAGACACACACACACACACACACACACACACAGAGACAGAGACAGAGACAGAGAGACAGACACAGAGGCAGAGGCAGAGGCAGAGGCAGAGACAGACAGAGACAGAGACACAGAGAGAATCTGGGAAAAAACCCCGAGCCAAATATCTTTGTAAAAATTTGTCTTGCTGGGCGTGGTGATGCCGACCCGTCAGTCCCAGCAGCCTGGGAGGCTGCGCCATGAGGACCACAAGCTTAGGCCAGCCTGGGCAACTTGGTAAGATCCTGTCTCATTATGAAAAAAAATAAAAATAAAAAAATGAAAAAGGGCTGAGGGTGCAGCTCAGTGTGAAGGCCCTGGGTTCAATCTCTGGTACCACGAAAAGTCTTAAAATGCTACCGCTCTACTTGCCTTGAAGATGTGGCTAAGTCAGCTCTCTATGGGAAGCTATACAGCTGCACTTATTTAATGTATTACAAAGAAATGGATTTAATTTGGTTGCTAAATGATTCCCTCCCTGCCTCCCTCCTTCCTCCATCCTTTTCTTCCTTCCTTCCTTCCTTCCTCCCTCCCTCCCTCCCTCCCTCCGTCCCTCCCCCCCTCCCTTCCTCCTTCCACTCTCTTCTCTCCTTCTCTTCCTTCCTACTGGGATTAAGCCCAGGACCTTCCCATCAGGGTGAAACCACAGGAGACGCAGTGCTCCTGGGCCTCTGTGGGTACAAAGCAAGAGGAGTCGGGGTGAGGCCCACACTGGTCCTGACTGTCCATAGTCCTCCCGGGGCCCCACTCTTCCTCTAGGTCCACGGAGGTTGGGGGCACTGGGGACAGGCTGGGGGGGGGGGCGGGAGACAGGGCCAGCAGCTCACCATGAAGAACTGGCAGAGGGTGATGTGGGGGAAGATGTTGTGGGCCTTGTTCTTCCCGCAGATTTGCTTCGACTGCTGCCAGAAGTCGGAGAGCTTCTGTGCTAAGGGGCCGGTGGGGCGGAGGTAGAGGACGTATTCCCGGGGCAGGGGGTCATCCAGGAAGGGGTCGCCCACGTGGGAGAACAACCTGGAGGAGAACAGAGAGCCCGAGAAGCCTCGCTGGAGAAGAATAAACAGAAGCAGAGCGCAAAGACAGATCTACCCTCCACATACGCCCGCCTGGGTGCCGCGGGGAAGGTGTTCGGTTGCGCTGTCAGCAGCTCCCCTTTGAGGCTCCTCATAACCAGCGCTCAGAGACACCAACTTCTGTTCTGCGTCTCCGACCGTGACTCCATCCCACAGTTCCCTAAAAAGAACCCTGTAGCTGCTCTCCAGGAAGCGTGCTCGGATTAACTCTGAAGCTTTTCCAATCCCGCAGTACAGCTTCCACGTACGCCGCCCCTCAGTGCAGCCTAAGAGGAGGTCCAAGCACCTCCAAAGAAAAAGGAAGCGGGCGGGATGCTGCGGTATCCCGGCACAGGCGCTGGAAGGCATGTGGGATCTTCTAAATTAATTCGCCCAGCATCCACATATTTGAAGTGAATTTTGGGGGGATGGTGGTGGAGGTCCTGGGAATTGAAGCCAGAGCCTTTGTATCAAACTACACCCCAGGCTCGCTTACTTTATTTTTTTATTTTTCAATTTTGAGACTGGGTCTTGCTAAGTTCCTTAGGTTGGGCTTGAATTTGCAATCCTCCTGCCTCAACCTCCTAGAGTGCTGGGATTTTTTTTTTTTTCCATCATATCTGGCACAAAGTGGACATTAAATGATGGACGGAGGGAAGTATTTAGAGAAGGTCTATCTGAAAATGATGCTGAATGTCTTGAAACAGCTCGAAGGACAAGCACACCCTTGGGCCAGGGCAAAGGAGACAACTGACTTGATAAATGCAGGTGGCGCTAGCCCTTTGGCTCATCCCTTCCCAGGAAGGGCCTGCTAGAGGTGGACTGCACAGGCCTGGTCATCCCCATGCACTGAGTTATTACATGCCCTTTTCTCCATTTCTTTATTTCATACCAACCAGTCACATGCTGCCTGAACGCTTCTTCCTCCCGTGGATGCCAAGGCCTTTTGTCTGGAAGAAGAAATTATTGTTAGTATTTTTAGCCTCTCCGCAGCTTTTCCCACTGCAGCAGCAAGCGGTTGGGTGTGCAGGAGGCCATTGGAGGTCCTGTTCCACTCTCTCCCCCATGGTATGTGACGGAGGGTTGTAGCCAGGCATGTGGAAGTTAGGACTTGCCAGTAATTTCCAAGAAATTAGCATTAGATTTGCATGCAGCCTGGCAGCCCATGCAGTCTATTTTCATCAATTTCCACATTAGGATTTTATTTTTGCTTCCCTAAACATTATCATGTCATGTCTTGGTTTCTCCACCTCCCTTTTTGCCCACCCACTTTTACTGACCCAGATCCCTTGCAGAGCGGATTCCTGCCTGCAGCCCCTCTGCAGGATAGGGTACATCATCATTGTCTCTTTTTGCTCTCAACAACTGCCGCGCCCACCACCACTGGAAGCCCCAGGGTAGATCTGTCATCTCCAGCTATGTTACAGATCTTTTGGGGGACAAGCTGCACTAGGCACAAGAGGATGATCCAAGCACCACTACTGTCCCCACGTCTGGAGAAAGGCTTGAAGCTGTCCTGATGACAGTGGGTGAGCCCCTGCATGGAGCCCCGGCAGTGAGGCTCTTGCGCGGAGCTCTTCTAACACTTCAGGCCTGTCTCCAAGAGCTGAGCTCTGGGTTCATGTCTCTTACCCACCCTTTCATTCACATATGCATTCATGTTTACACTCACTCAATAATTGTTTAGGATTGGACCTGTCCTGTCAGCACCATCGTAAGACCCGGGACCACAACAAAGAACAAGACTTATGTGGACCTGGTTGGACCTCACACAGATTTCTGTCACTCAGGCTCATGAAAATGTCCATCATTCAGCTAATTATTGTGTTACACCGGCGGCATGTGCAATGTCAGAGGAGCACAGGAAGCCATGAGGACAGAGCTCTGGCCTGGCACAGGACAGCAGAGGCAGTGACCATGCTGTGACCATGGAGCAGTGGTTTTGTGTTGGCTGTTTAGACCACCGGGCACCCACTCCAAGTGAGATGTGAAGATGAAAGAAGATGGGGTACACAGGAGCCCTGGACAGTGCCTGATACACCCTAGGTGACAAATGCACAATCATTCACCTTATGCCACACTGACTCAGTGTCTCTGATAAGGGGAAAAGAAATCATAGAATTCAAATAACTCCCCCCTCTGTCCAAGCCTCCTTTTCCTGTTTGGCTGAAGAACCTGTCCATATTCCCTCCTGTTACTTCTCTGGTGCAATTGATCCGAGACACTGATGAAGTGAAAACCACAGGGTCAGGAGGAAAGGGGTCTCGAGATCACCTGTGAGTCCAACTTCTTTGCACGCGAGGGGAAACTCAGGTGGGCTAAGGTGGTGGCTGGGCAAAGGCCTGAGTGTCGCCTCAGCTGCCCAGCAGCAAGTCAGCTCCTGTGCAGCACCTGAGCACAGACTCCCAAGGGTCGGGAGAAAGAAGCCTGCGTGGCTGATGAGGACAGCGCTGGGAAGCACAACCCTATTTACACAACCCTATCCCATAAGATGAGGTTAAGGGGAAGTAGCCCAGTCCCGTTGGAGTGAGGCTGGCTCAGGAAGGGCGGGAAGCACAGGGACCCCACACTCTCCCCACACCCTGCATGGCGCTCCTGAGTGACAGCCTGTCCGCTCCCTCCCTGCTCACCAGGCAGAGGCCAGGCTCTGCATCTGTCAGGATACAAACTATGTGCCCCCAACAGCACACCAGTGGTGACATGGTAGAGGTTGTTCACCGGAAAAGGACCCATTGTTTCAAAAACAATTGGGAAAAGGGAAACTCATTTGTGGTAAGGCCAATGTGCTATTTATATAAAGCATCTCATTTCTTGGTCCTATGCCCTTCCCCCGGTGAAATATACCTAAGTGAAATTTAATTTATTTCTTCTGAGGAAATAGAAGAATCCTCTGAAAATGAAAGATCTAATTAAGTTATGGTCTCAGGAACTCCAAAGACATCTTGGAGAGGGTTCAAGGAAAAAATTGGGGAAGAAAATGAAAGGGTTGGGCACGATAAAGGCTGTGATACAAGGTTAAGGAAATCCACATTTTTTCTTTCTAAAGAAGACAAGTCTAACAGGCCTTTAATTTTATGGAAGGTTATTGTATTCAACACACCCTGTCCAGAGAGGATCAGCCCAAATAAAATAAGTGTTGGACTTACAATTTGTGTCTAGTTGTCCCCCCAAAGCCTCATGCAGTCGTGGGGCGGCTTCTAGAGTTTGTGATTAAATTCATGATCCAATGCTGGGATTATGGGGGTAAGTGCTGCTGGAATTATGGCAGGGGTGTGACTGTCACAGCCCCTGGGGCAGATAGCCTGAATGTAATACAAGGAAGGGGGAGAGGCTTGCCTCTGCTGCTGCTGCTGCTCCTCCTGCGTTCTTGCTCTGGCTGTGTTGCTGTTCTGCTCTGCCGTGAAGGGCTGCCCTCTGCCATGTGCCAGCCCACCCTGGAGCCAGCTGAGTATGGTCTGAAACCTCCACAAACTGTGAGCTAAATAAACCATTCTTTCTTTAATTTTGGGTGCTGGGTATTTTGTCCCAGCAACAAGAGAAAAGTAAGTAACCAAGACAGTTGGCAGTGGCAAGAAGGGATCAAGTTAGCTACCAGAAAGAATTTTCTGGAAGCAATGTGGTTCGAAGCTTTTTTACGTTTCTAGAAAGTAGCTGTTCATCTGGAACAGAAGAGAGGAATTCCCTAGGGAGGAGGTGGTAGGAGAAGTAAAATCCCTTTCTCCTTCCAGTCGCCCACAAAGCGCAGGCCTACAGCCCCTTTATCCACTGCTAGGCTGGCCATGATCTAGGCTGAGTTTGTTCCCAGAGCTCCGCCCACAGAACAGCCTGGATAGGGGAAGCAGGAGAACGAGGCTCCAGCTCCTCTCTGCAGGAGAAAGGCTGTTGCCATAGAGCGCCACCTCCACAGCCCACCCCCTGGGGCCAAAGCCAAGGGCAAGTGGGCGTGAGTGGGTGGACCCTGAACCCCAGGCCCAGCCCCAACATCTGGTACTCTCAGGGTGACTCAGATTGGCAGAAGCTTATTTCAGAGGCCACCTGAGACCTTCCGCAGACAGAGGAGGACCTTGGTAGCTGAAATTCCAGGGGCCTTGCCATTGGATTATAGCAAGGGATTATGGTGAAGAACAGTGTCAGTGTGACTTTCTTGACTAGAATTGCTAAAATGTGAGGATTCTTGAAGTTCAATCTCATGCAGACATAAGCATGACTTCTTTTGTTTTTTTGAGACAGGGTCTTCCTGTGCAGTTCAGGCTGGTCTTCAACTCACTTTGCAGCCAAGGCTGGCCTTGGACTTGCAGCAATCCTCCTGCCGCAGCTTCCTCAGTGCTGGGATTACAGGAATGTGCCATCATGTCTGGTTGTATAAACTTCACTTCTGATCCTGGTTCCAAGTTTGCCAACTACATCTAGAGTTCCTCTGTAGCACTGCATGAAAAGCAAATGATGCCACCTTCTACCAGCCAAAGACAGAAGAACAGTACAAATAGGACCATGGGGGGCTGGTGGGATGGCTCGGTGGTCTGGAGCACCTACTTACAACAAGTGAAGCTGAGCAAAGCACAGGGACCGCAGTTCGATCCCCCAGCACCACATGCCAGCCAGCCCCGCCCCCTGGTGGGCTGAGCTGGCCCCCCACACACACACAATAAATAAATAGATAAATAAATAAATAATTTTAAAAAAAGTTTTTTAGTTTTAACTAAAAATATAAGAAATATTATTTTTTGTATCTTTATGAAAA